TATGAAATGGAAGCAATGATAATTGTAAAAAATGCATAAGGAAGCTCAAAAGAATGAATGATAGAATTCTAGAAAGATAGCATTTTCGACTACTTTTTTTATTATGTAAAAAATCGTTTTTCATCATAAAATTTAAAAATAAATTTTTTTACAGTAAGCTTATGTATTTAGGAGTGTATGAGACTTGGAATTTTATAAAAATAAATTTTAACCAACTCAAAAAAATCAGACATAAAGACATAGTAACACCACAAATTCCTTACTACAGGTCTGTCCATTTTCCAATTTCGACCAATTTCCTTTTTTAATAATAAAATTTGAATTAAATAACTAGAAAATAGATTCCTTAAGCTTTGTAAATTGGGGTCACAAGTTCTCATAGGATGAATACTCTATTTTTTTTATGATTTTTACAAATCTAGATATTAAAATGTCAAACTGATTTGAGGCTGTTTTTCCCAACCAAGAATACTTTTTTATTTGACATATCAAATGACTTCTAAAAAGGGAGAATTTTCTACAGAGCATCTAAATGTTTGTCCTTAACATACCATTAAAAGGATCATGCCAATTTTGAAGTACTTTGACCATTATCATCCAATTCCCCATGAACGTCCCAAACTAGAGTGTTTTTAAAGAAATTTCATTATCTTTTATTTCAACAGTTAGATGAATCCCAATTTTTGATATGTTATATAAGACTTGTAGACATTTCCAAAGACCTATCATATGCTCAAATCCGACTGTTAGAACATGAGTTATGATGTTCGAAATATTAGAGACACTTAAAACCCTTAAGCTTTTTAAGGAAAAATGGAATGAACATTATTATATAATTTGTGTCACCCTATTATGTATACCTCTGGTTTTTTTAAGTCATTTGAGGAAGTTATAAATTACTCATGCCTCAAATTGATATTAATCCAAACAAGATTGTATCACTTTAAGACTAACACTTTTTTTATTTTTTTTTTTAAAAAAAGTCTTCTTCATCCTATGGCTATATGAAAGGAGCATTATAAATAATTCATTTAGTTTGAATAGAATGTCTTATAATTTTTAAATAAATCTTGTTTAAGTTTTAATTCCATCATCGTTCGGAAGAGCAAAATTTCCTTATGCATTTCTTAATAAAGAGACAACTAACTTTTAATTAAGCAAAATATGGTCTTGCATGCTTGTATCATTTCATTAATAAAATAAATCTTTCGAGTTATGGTTTATGGCTTATATTTAAATAAGAGGGTAAAGTTGAATATTCAATCATGATAGGTTATAAGATGATCTATTTGCCGCAGAGAATTATACTTTTAAAGTTTTATTATCTCTGATAGATCGCTTACTTAATCTAACATGATTAAGGTGATATGTCTATTTTATATATTGTTTTACCCCCGTCTCTTGGTCATAATTAGTAGTGTTTTTGGCCCTTTAGGGCCACTTTTATTACTAATATGTTTTTTCTAGTGTTTTCGTAGTTTTGGTTAAGTTTTGCAGGGAATTGCACCTTTGGAGTATTTTCCCGGGATTTTTATGAAGCGACTACGAGCATTGGAGGAACACGACCACTTTTGAAGCCCAAGGCCGACTAGAGCCATCGAGCCGGTGATTAAGGGCTCGGTTATTTGGATCACGAGGCAATTGGACCATGTATTCGAGTCCCGAGAGGAAATATGGATTGGGCCGAGAAATCTAGCCCAATCGAAGTCCAAGCCTTGAAGATGAAGACCGGGCCCGATCGGGCAAGCATACGCTCGATCGGGCGGTTGCGCGCATGAAGGCTATCAAGGAAAGGCGCGCCCGCCCGATCGGGTGAGCGTAGGCTCGATCGGGCGCGGCACTTTAGACTGGGCATAGGAAAAAAAGGCGGGCCCGATCGGGCGCGTGTTTTTCCTAGTGTCTGATTTAGTTTAGTTAATTCTTGTTTCAGGAGAAGTATATATACGTTTTGTACGGATTATTTACTTACCTTCTTTCTCTTAGACTTTCTCTCTCTACTTAGTATTTTTCTCTCTCTTAAATTCTCTCTAACTCTTGTTCTTAATTCCTTCATTAATTCCAGATTTAGTTTGGTACAATTTCTTCCCTCTTTAATTTCAGTTATTTTAATTGCTTTCTTGATCATGTTCTTATTTATTTATTTGTTTGGTTTAATTATGATGATTAGTGAGTAGTTTAATTCTAGGGTTTATGGGGATCCATAATTAATATGAAGGGATAGTTTGTTATTATTGATTGTTGATATTGCATGATAATTTCCTATTGAATTGTTTCAATTCTTTGCAATTAGATTATGAATCGAGCAGATGTAATTTGATTGTGAATGTTTAGCAATATTGAATTGATGAATGAGCAGATGTTGATTTAATATTAAAGGCTATTTTTAATAGGAACTTAGGTCTAATAAATTGCGAGAGCCTGTTAGATCTATGTTGGTTAATAAATTGCGAGAGCCTGTTAGTCATGTTATTCGTGCATTGTTAATTATTAATTACTTCGTTCTATCCCGGAATATTAATTATTGGTGAACCTGTGACCCTAGGTTTCCTTATTATTGATTCTTTTCTCCCTAAACTCACTCTTCGTAGTATAGAATTCACATTTAAAATATTGGTTACTTAGATAATTTAGATTATATTAATTAATTAGAATTAAAAAGACCTGTTTCCCTGTGGAGATCGACCCTACTTCCCTATCTACCTTAGGTAGTGATTTAGGTAATTATTTTTGATTAGGGGATACGACTTTACCCTGTCAAAATTTGGCGCCGTTGCCGGGGAGATGGTTTTATTTTTATTTTCTGATTATATTTTTGTAGTCTAGATTATCCCCCTTTTGCCTCAGAGAACATTAGTTCTTTGAGGCAAATCTCATATTTGTCTCTAGTTCTTTGTTTATGCCTAGGTGTTCTAGATCAGGTGATATCCCTTTTGATCCTGAGATCGAGCGTTCTTTTCATAGGCAAAGGAGACTCTATAGACAAATTCTGGCGGGTTCTGAGGAGGACAACGATCGAAGAGATCCTCCCACTAATTCTAGTGATACAGATATTCCTTCAGATTCAGAATCAGAGATGACGGCCCAGAAGAAACTCAGTGATTATTCGCAACCGAAGCTCATAGATTTCCCGCACCTTACTCCTATTCCGGCTCTAGATGGAGTTCAATTTGAGATCAAGCCCCAATTTATCACTATGATAGAGAGGAAGCAGTTCAGCGGAGCTAAGGGTGAAGATCCTAATCTTCACATTGCAGATTTCTGCCAATATTGTAACACCATTAGACAAGCCGGGGTTACGCAGGACCAAATCAGGGAGATTCTTTTTCCCTTTTCTTTATGTGGCAAAGCAAAATTATGGTTTAATGGTTTGAATAGAATTGCACTTGGCAATACTGACTGGGAAACTCTTGCTTTGAATTTCTATAATAAATATTATCCTGCAGAGAGAACAGCGGTGCTAAGAAGTGCTATCCAGAACTTCGCTTAAGAGGCCGACGAAACATTATATGAGGCTTGGGAGAGGTTCAAGGATCTATAGAGAGAGTGCCCCCACCACAATCTAGCACAATGGCAATTGATCCAAGCATTCTATAATGGACTTGGAAATTCTTCTAGATCAGTACTAGATTCGACAGCTAGTGGGAGGTTTATGAATTTAAATGTGGATGATGCAGGACAGGTTATCGAAGACATGGCAATACACAATTCCCAATATCGATTCCGTATCCTTTTTGCAAGCTCAATTAACATCTATTTGCCAAAAATTAGATAATCTTACTGCTGCTCCTAACTCTGTAGCTAATGTTTCTGCTGTTGCTAACCATGAAGCTTTTTGTGAAAATTGTGGAATTGTAGGTCATTGGGAGCAAGATTGTAGGAGCTCTATGGAACAAGTTAATGCCTTCCAAACCTATAGGAAAAATAACCCCTATTCCAATTCCTACAATGCCGGTTATAAAAACCATCCTTATCTTTCGTACCGGAGTACCAATGTACAAAACCCTCCACCTCCACAACAACCACAACAGCAACCCCCACCACAGCAAAAATATTATCTTCCTAATGCCGGCCAGATTAGCCAAGCATCACCCTCATCATCTTCCGACCCTGCCATGACAGAAATTAGAGCGATGCTAGCTAATATTCAAAAGCACATGGAGAGTAGGGATGCGCAAATTGATTCTATTCTAGCCCATAATAAAATCATGGACAATCAAATTTCACAACTTTCATCTACCCTACAATCCCGTCAGCAGGGAGCTCTACCATCACAACCTATCCATCCTACAGATCATGCTAATGCAATCACTCTAAGGAGTGGTTCACATTATGATGGACCTCCCATTCCAAAGGAAGATGGACCAGTTCCTGATCTAGATTCCTCTATACCAAACGGTAATCCTGCTAGCCCTGCAGGGCTACAAAAAGATACTAACCCTACTAATGTTTCTGTGCAGGGTAAATTGCAGGATAAGGGAGGAGTTGTGCAGAGCCCAGTTATCAAGCTTCCATTCCCTAATAGACAACTGAAGAGTAAGCTTGACAAACAATTCGGTAAGTTTTTAGAGGTTGTGAAAAACCTGCAGGTAACAGTTCCTTTCACTGATTTAATCACTCAAGTACCTGCTTATGCTAAATTCATGAAAGACATTCTGACTAGGAAAAGGGCCTTTAATGAAGTAGAAACTGTAGCTTTCACAGAGGAGTGTAGCGCTTATTTGCAAAATAAATCACCTTCTAAATTAAAGGATCCCGACAGTTTTTCTATCCCTTGTCACATTGGGAATGTTTTTATTGATAAAGCTTTATGTGATCTGGGTGCTAGTGTCAGTGTCATGCCATCATCTATATGTGCTAAATTAAATATGGGGGAATTAAAAATTACTAATATAACTTTGCAAATGGCAGATCGTTCGGTAAAATATCCCTTAGGTATTTTAGAGGACGTACCTGTCAGAGTTGGTAAATATTTTATTCCTGTTGATTTTGTTGTTTTAGATATGGCAGAGGACACACAAATACCCATTATATTAGGTAGGCCTTTCCTCCACACTGCAGGAGCTATTATTGATGTGAAAAATGGTAAACTAACCCTTTCTGTAGGTGAAGATAACGTTACCTTTAATTTAGGGAAGGTTTTGAAAGGGCCTATGTTAGAGGAAAATTGTTGTTATATTGATACAATTGATATAATGGACGATATTTGTGTTGATAGCTTGCCACAGGTCCTTGCGAAGGATCCCTTAGAGGAAGTTCTCTGCGGGAATTTATCTAGCGACAATGCAAGCATTTGGGGTAATGAGGTACAAAGTATTGAAAAAGCTCTTTCCTTAGAAGATTTAAGCCCCAAGGAGACAATGAAGGTAGTAAATTTAGTTCAGGAATCAAAACCTGCAGTGGTCAAGAAACCTGAGCTAAAACCTCTCCCTTCTCATTTAAAATATGTTTTTCTAGATGAGCAGGAACTACACCCCGTGATCATCAGTACTGCACTCACTGACCTACAATCTTCCCAACTTCTAGGGGTCCTCAAAACCCATAAGAAGGCTATAGGGTACAGTATTGATGATCTCAAGGGTATTAGCCCTGATTTTTGCATGCACAGGATTCATCTAGAGGAAAATTACAAGCCCTGCATTCAACCCCAACGAAGATTAAATCCAAACATGCAGGAAGTAGTCAAGAAAGAGGTGATGAAATTGCTCGATGCAGGTATCATCTATTCTATTTCTGACTCCAAGTGGGTAAGTCCTGTGCAGGTAGTACCGAAGAAGGGTGGGATGACTGTGATAACTAATGATAAAAATGAATTAATTCCCACTAGAACTGTAACAGGGTGGCGTATGTGCATAGACTATCGTAGACTAAATACCGCCACTAAAAAGGATCACTTCCTTCTCCCCTTTATTGACCAAATGCTTGAGAGGTTAGCTAATCACAAATTCTTTTGCTATTTGGACGGGTATTCGGGATTTTTCCAAATTCCGATTCACCCTGAAGATCAGGAAAAGACCACTTTTACATGCCCTTATGGCACTTTTGCATATCGTAGAATGCCCATTGGTTTATGTAATGCACCTGCTACCTTTCAACGTTGCATGATGAGCATTTTTTCTGATTTCATAGTGTCTATTATGGAGGTCTTTATGGATGATTTTAGCGTATATGGTTCTTCATTTGATTCATGCTTAATTAATCTCGCTAAAATTTTGAAAAGATGTGAGGAGTGCAACTTCGTACTTAATTGGGAGAAATGTCACTTTATGGTGACAGAGGGAGTAGTCCTTGGTCATATTATATCTAATAAGGGCATACAAGTAGACAAAGCTAAAATATCAGTGATTGAGCAATTACCTCCCCCAGTCAATGTTAAGGGAGTTAGAAGCTTCTTGGGTCATGCGGGGTTTTATCGCCGCTTTATCAAAGATTTTTCTAAAATTGCTAAACCACTGACACAGCTTTTGCTCAAGGATGCCCCATTTATTTTTACTGACGAGTGTCTTGAGGCTTTTCACAGGATTAAGCAGGCTTTGATATCGGCACCCATCATATGTGCTCCCGATTGGAACCTCCCTTTCGAGATCATGTGTGACGCAAGTGACTTTGCACTAGGAGCCGTGCTCGGACAGAGGAAGGATAAGGTTTTGCATGCTATTTATTATGCTAGAAAAACCTTAGATGAAGCCCAAGTCATCTATGCCACCACAGAAAATGAGTTTCTTGCTGTTATTTATGCTTTAGAAAAATTTAGATCATACCTAGTTGGTTCTAAAGTTATTGTTTTTACTGATCATGCAGCATTGAAATACTTGATAGCCAAGGCGGAATCAAAGCCAAGGCTACTCCGTTGGGTTCTCTTGCTCCAGGATTTCAACATTGAAATAAAAGATAAAAAGGGAGCAGAGAACGTAGTGGCAGACCACTTGTCACGTATCAGGTATGATGAGGGTAAGGATTCTTTACCTATAGATCATTCTTTCCCTGATGACAACCTATATGCAATTGTAGAGCATCACCCTTGGTACGCCGATTTTGCTAATTATATAGTGGGTGGTACTCTACCTCCTGACTTGTCCTACCAACAGAAAAAGAAATTCCTTTATGATGTTAAACATTATTTTTGGGATGACCCTTTTTTGTTTCGTGAGTGTGCAGATGGATTATTTCGCAGGTGTGTTCCCGAATGGGAGGTTCACGGCGTCCTTACCAGTTGTCATACTTCACCATATGGTGGACATCATGGCCCCACTAAAACGGTGGCTAAGATTAATGAGTCAGGCTTCTTTTGGCCTACTATGTTTAAAGATGCTAACACTTTTGTGCAGGCTTGTGACCCTTGCTAGAGGACTGGCAACATTTCGCGGAGGCATGAGATGCCCCAAACTGGGATTCTCGAAGTTGAAATATTCGATGTTTGGGGTATCGATTATATGGGGCCGTTCCCATCTTCCAATGGGAATTGTTACATACTTGTAGCCGTCGATTATGTGTCCAAGTGGGTAGAAGCCATAGCTTCACCAACAAATGACTCCAAGGTAGTCATTAAGCTCTTCAAGAAGATCATATTTCCCAGGTTTGGTGTTCCACGCGCTATTATTAGTGATGGGGGTACCCACTTCCATGAAAGACAATTGGATAACCTCCTCAAGAAGTATGGCGTATATCACAGAACAGGGCTTAGTTACCACCCTCAAACTAGTGGTCAAGTTGAGGTCTCTAACAGGGAAATCAAGGCGATCCTAGAAAAGGTAGTAGCCAAGTCAAGGAAAGATTGGAGCATGAAGCTTGATGACACACTTTGGGCATACCGAACAACATTTAAAACACCGATCGGTACTTCACCTTATAGATTGGTTTATGGTAAGGCATGTCATCTTCCCGTAGAATTGGAGTACAAAGCCTTTTGGGCGATCAAAGAGCTTAATATGGATTCTAAGGCCGCGGGTAAGAAGAGACTCCTCTAACTCAATGAATTTTATGAGTTTAGATTGTCGGCATATGATAGTGCGCGGATCTACAAGGAGAAGACCAAGAAGTGGCACGACAAGAGGATCTTACCAAGAGAGTTTGCACCGGGCGATAAGGTTCTTCTCTTTAATTCTAGATTGAAGATTTTCCCAGGAAAGTTGAAGTCCAGATGGTCCGGTCCCTTCACTGTCACAAAGGTGAACAAATTTGGTTCGGTAGAGCTGGTGAATGACAAAGGTGAAGAATTCAAGGTGAATGTCCAAAGGTTGAAATTGTATCATGAAGGTGCTACCATGAGAGATGTGGAGGAGACTCTCCTAACTCCACTTCCAACATGAGTTTCAAGGTGGTGAGAAGGTCGTGCGGGACCTAGATAAACCAGCGCTTTGCGGGAGGCAACCCGTATTTCATGCTTTCTAGGCTAGTTTTCCTTTTCCTTAATTTTTCTTATTTTATTTTTATTTTTATTTTTACTTTTATTTTTTTTAGAGAGGCGAGGAGAGTGATATTTCACCAGTTTTAGGTGTTGTTGTACAGGTATGCATTTGACAGGTATAAAGACTTAGAAAAATTTTGAAGAAGAAACGAAATCGGAGAATAAGGCTCTTTCGGGCCCGATCGGGCGAGGCTCGCCCGATCGGGCGCGCAAGCTACCCAGAATTTAGCAGCAATTTCGCCCGATCGGGCTACGTTGCCCGATCGGGCGCGTAAGTGAGCTAAAAATCGGAACTAATTTCGCCCGATCGGGCGAAACAGCCCGATCGGGCGAGCAAGCTAAGTTGGATTCAGGGGCTATTTTCGCCCGATCAGGCGAAGCTTGCCCGATCGGGCAATTTTTTTGGAAAATCGAGTAAAAGAAAAAGAAATGTCGGGCGAAGCTCGCCCGATCGGGCAAGAAAAAGGGCGAAAATTCGTTCGCGTTCGTGCCTGATCGGGCGGAGCTCGCCCGATCGGGCGCGCAACTTGAGTTTTGGATGTTCGCACTTTTGCCCGATCGGGCGAGGCTCGCCCGATCGCCCGATCGGGCGTGCCTACAGGCCGACCCCCCTTTATTTTATTTTCTCTTCTTTCTTTCCTCATTTCCTCCTTATTTCATCTTCTTCATTCACTTTCTCTCTCTAAAACCTCCATTTTCAAACCTTAAACTTACACTTCAATCCAAGATCTCCTCCAATTCTTCCATCCAAAATCAAAATTTTTTACAATTCCATCTCCCCTCACCTTCCTCTACACCCTATACTAATTTTCCCCAATTTCCTCTCAACCTTTCCCAAACCCTAAGAGAGAGAAACCTCAAATTTTCTACTATTTTTCAAAGATAATGGCCTCCAAGCGTTCAAGAAATCAAAGGGGTGAGAGCTCTACTGCACCACAACCAACAATCAACCCGGACCTTCAAATTCCGGGATGGGAGGAGGTTGTAATCACCTCGGAGGAGCAACGGGTTCGGATGATCAACCTCATCGATCGTCAGGTAATTTCTACCCGTTTCATTCATCATCCTACTTTAGCTAGGCTAGGTCTTGATAAATACGTAGAAAAATTGTTTAAGGGCATAGGCATGAGTGGTTTGTTTCAAATATGCCATGATACTTATGATTATTTAACATTGGAATTTATATCTAGTTTTAATGTTATCAAAATGAATGCACTTATCACTCATGTCCAATTTCGATTGTTAAACAACAATGTGAGACTAACTTTAAAAGAATTTGGTAAGTTGTTTGACTTGAAATCGGACAATCCTATTGAACCCTCTCAAGACCACACCGCCGTGGTCTATAAGAGGTTAACAGGGGAGGATTTGGTGAACCTCCAACATGCCAAAGGGACGTGGATTTAACATCCCGTCCCCAAACTTTGGCAAAGATTTGTCGGCCTCACCATTTTTGGGAGGCATGAACCGGCAAATGTTCGGAGGGATGAATTGGAATTATTAGCTTCCTATATTATTCCTAATGCTGAAAAATTAAACATACCGCATAGGATAGCCAATCATTTCCAAAGGGCGGCCAACGCGACCGAGGCTAGTAGGTCTAGAGCGCCTATTTACTTTGGGGGGTTAGTGACCCATATAGCTAGGAAACACTTAGGTTGGAACCCCGATGGCCATAGGAAAGTTGTGGGATCGAACTTAATGGACCTACCCTATTTGGGGAGCTTGAATTGGGTACAACCGGTGGGGAGTGATACTTGGTGGATTGTCCACCGACAATCGGGTAGGAGGGACCAAGCCTTTACCTTACCCAACCCCGCCTTGACCAAATGTGAGAGGGGGAAGCCCTCCTACACTTTCGAGTTAGATGGTCAAGGTGAGGTTCAACCACCTCACCCCTCACCACAACCTCACCAATCCCCCATTCACCAGTCCCCCATTCACCACTCATCCCACTACCAACCACCCCCACCTTTCACCTACGGCATGCCAACTTCCTCGGTCGATTACAATGTCGACCCAAATGCCCCATATGACTTTTCGGCTTTTAGGAGCCAACTAGACCACATTGAGACGGGGCAAGGAAGGGTAGAGGGCATGATGCAAAACCTAGACTCTAGGTTAAGCACCCTAGATGGGAGGGTTGGTCTTATTGAGAGGAACCTTGGGAGGGGCCTTTACCCAATGTATGATGATTATGCCCGTCGGGGGGCTATTCCTCCCGATTCCCTTACTCCCGATTGGTTCCAATACCCCCAAGGTGGGTATTCTCACCCCGGTGCTTATGGTACTTATGTGGACTACTCTTCGGTCCACGGATATGGGGGTATGGGTGGGAATGTAGACCCTAACTACTATGCCGGTGGTTCGGGGTATGGTGGTGGTGGCTCTAGCCATGGAGGTGCCGGCTCTAGCCACGGTGGGGGGTACTCTAGGATGGATGAGGATGAAGAGTAGGCTACTCTCCCAAGTCAATGAGGGCATTGCTTGATTTGGCTTGGGGGGGGTGTTCTTTCACTTGGAAATTCTCTTCCTTTTCTCTCTTTATTTGCTTTCTAGTATAGTTTTTATTTTCTTTCCTAGTGTAGTTTCTTATTGCTTTCTTATATTTGAAAATACAAAAAAATTGATAAAAATAAAAAATTCAAAAATACGTTCCAATGAATTGTAAATCATACTTCCCTGTACCCCATACTTGAGAAAATTGTTTTGATTCTTGGTATTTGATGATGAATATTGTGGATTTGTTGGTCATGATTTGAAGTCTATTTGTTTGGATTCCTAAACTTGCGTCAATTTTGTCCAACTACTTGTGAATATAGTGCTTGACTAGTTGATTTGGTTAGGAAATGTGTGATAGTTCCATAATTCCTGGTATGTCAATGAATTTGAGTATTGATTTGCAACTATGAGTAGTGTTTCATGACTTTTTATTATGCACATGAGGAGAACGAAGGCATTCATTCTTTTAGGTAGCCTTCAGAGTATTTAGATACATTTGTTCCCTTCTTGTCACCCATGTTGTTGCTTGTACCCTTTTATTGTTTATAGCCACATTACAAGCCTTTATTGCCCCATTGGTTAATAGTCCCAAGCTTGGCTTGGGGGAGCTATTAGTGAGTGAGGTGAGGGAGTTTGTATTGTGCACATTATTTGCACAATTTGGGTGGGTTTTGAGAAGTAATTTGTTCTTGATCATATTTTTGTTTTTATGAGTTTAAAAGTTGTATATATTTGAGAAAAGTAAAAGTGTGATGAAAAAAAAAAGGAAGTTCAAAGAAAAAAAAGTGAGAAATTTGAAAAAAAAGAAAGTGAACTTCTAAGAAAAAAGAGGAAAAAATGCTTGATGTTCAAATGTTCTAAGTGAAGGTTAATCAAAAGAAAGGAAAAAAAAAAGTTGAGTTTCAATGTAAATATTTCAAGTTATGAGTTCAAAGTTTGTTATTCACTCTTGTTCTACATTATCATATTTTTATGAGTGAAATTGTGAGTGTTGGGATTGTTATATTGTTTGGAGTATATTTGGTGTTTTGTTGTTTGGAGTTGGTTATGTTGGAGATGTGTATGATCGTTATTTTTTATCATGGATTTTTTAGGATTTGGCTCCCTTAATGCATAGCTTTTCTCTCACATAATCCCAAATTTATCCTACCTTTACCTTAGCCTTACATTACAAGCTTAAAAGACCTTCCAACCTTGTGCATAGAAGTTATGTAAATGTGAAAGTGTTGTTTTTCAATGCAAGTGATGACTTGACATATTTCGAGTCAACTAGTAGGATGAGCGTTCAATGTTTTTATACACACGAGAGTGTGAGTTGGGAGGGCATTGTTCACATTAAAGGGGTTGGGTGGAGAGCGATCGAGTACATTCTTGTTTTTCCTAGTGTCTGATTTAGTTTAGTTAATTCTTGTTTTAGGAGAAGTATATACACGTTTTGTACGGATTATTTACTTACCTTCTTTCTCTTAGACTTTCTCTCTCTACTTAGTATTTTTCTCTCTCTTAAATTCTCTCTAACTCTTGTTCTTAATTCCTTCATTAATTCCAGATTTAGTTTGGTACAATTTCTTCCCTCTTTAATTTCAGTAATTTTAATTGCTTTCGTGATCATGTTCTTATTTATTTATTTGTTTGGTTTAATTATGATGATTAGTGAGTAGTTTAATTCTAGGGTTTATGGGGATCCATAATTAATATGAAGGGATAGTTTGTTATTATTGATTGTTGATATTGCATGATAATTTCCTATTGAATTGTTTCAATTCTTTGCAATTAGATTATGAATCGAGCAGATGTAATTTGATTGTGAATGTTTAGCAATATTGAATTGATGAATCGAGCAGATGTTGATTTAATATTAAAGGATATTTTTAATAGGAACTTAGGTCTAATAAATTGCGAGAGCCTGTTAGATCTATGTTGGTTAATAAATTGCGAGAGCCTGTTAGTCATGTTATTCGTGCATTGTTAATTATTAATTACTTCGTTCTATCCCGGAATATTAATTATTGGTGAACCTATGACCCTAGGTTTCCTTATTATTGATTCTTTTCTCCCTAAACTCACTCTTCGTAGTATAGAATTCACATTTAAAATATTGGTTACTTAGATAATTTAGATTATATTAATTAATTAGAATTAAAAAGACCTGTTTCCCTGTGGAGATTGACCCTACTTCCCTATCTACCTTAGGTAGTGATTTAGGTAATTATTTTTGATTAGGGGATACGACTTTACCCTGTCATAAGGTTTTTAACATATACTACCTATCATTTAGATTTAAGCCATATAGAATGTCCATTATGCGTAAGTCAATTTCATACAATCTAAACCCATTTCCTTCATATTCTTCTCAATTCATACCAAATAAAATTCCTTTTTTAGCACACTTAAATAAGGCCACACAATCTCTTTTTGGAAGTTGGTCAACCCTAAATAAAGTCGTTAATTGAAACGCATTTTACAAACAAAATCATTCTCCTCAAAGAAAATCCTATGGTGTCGCTGATTCTAGTGACTTCCTCAACCTTGATAAATTGACCTCCACCTTGAAAGCAAGATTGCTCAACCTCATTCAAATGACCCTATATGGATCAACCACCTCTCCTAA